GAATACTGAAACGACATTTAAAAATATAACAGTGACGTCCTTGAGATTTTAAGCAGAGCGCTTACGAAGGTAAATATTTAAAATTAATCAGTCATTCTCACCGTTAGTCAGTTTATTTCTTTTAGTAAGTGACACATGAAGATGTACTCGTTGCATTTCCTCACATTTCGTGCGCGGCCGACACGTCTCCGGTTGCTCGTTAGAGGCGCTATCGACGGCACGTATCCCATTTAAGATTGATTTAAGCTCCCAAGCCACGGCAAATGTGAATATTTTTATTCCCAACAGTGACGTATTACTTATCTTCTCAGATATCTTACTATCTATGTGTGGAACCAAGATTTTAGTAAACAATACTGTTGTAAGAACTAGAAAATTTATTTACAATTGAAATTATTAGATTTATTAGCATTTTCAAATTTATTTTTGTAAAGAAAGAGCAAGGCAAAGAGATAAATAGATTCTTAAGGTTACCTCGCGCTTCAACACCAACCGTATCACATCTTTTACTAAATTTAATACTTCAGATTTTCGTAAAAAAGATGTAGTTTAGTAACTTTAGTAACTTTTTTTCTCAAAGTTTTGGGTAACTACTTCTATTTCATTTTATGATTGCCAATGGTTTTGTATTCCCATAATCTATTTCACATTCGGTCGTTACTTCAATTCTATCTTTTTCTCGCGTCCAATTTATTTCGTTTCCAAGCCAACGACTTGAAAAAATTCAATATCTTCGGTGACGTATGCAAGGATGCTTTATTACACATATAAAAACGTAAGCCTCAATCTACATACATTCCTGTTTTTCCACTTCTCCTATTTCACTTTCAATTCTCCGATATATTTCTGTTATTGTTTTTCAATTAGTTTAAAAGACATATACGTTGTCTTTTTACTGCTTAAAGAACAGTTTGTTTTAATATTTCACCGGATAGATGTTTACTATAAAAAAAGAAAGTTAACTTTAGTATTAAAATCTCCGCTTGCTTATTGTTAGTGCCCCAGTAATTACACGCCCAAGTTTCCGTCGGAAAACAAAGATTATGTAAATAAAGTGAACATTTCCACCAGTTACAGTTATGCTATTATTTGCAGTTGTTGAAAACAAAACGAAACTTTACATTCGGTAGAGAATAACAGAATATAAAATACTCGAATTTGAATAATCTTACTAACCTATTTCAGATATCTTAGCTTGTTGCGTTAATTTGTAACTATTCTTAACTAATGAATACAATTTATGCTTAAATTAGATAAGCAAGAGTTTTTAGGTTAATTTGCTGTCAAATTCGATTAACTTTTCTGTTAGCGCCAATGAACCTGTTTTTTTGGAGGAGTAATACTTTAAGTAAAAAGGCTTAAGTTCTCAGCTATATGTATTCCCACTCGGCACAAATCTATATTATTTCAAAGTGATACAATTGTTTTTTCTTTGTTGACCGTTCTATTACCTTTTAATGCTACACTATATTATATGGAGCGAATCAATCATCACTGAATACTGAATTTATTAAAATAAAGCCTTCTTTGTTCTGTACGTGCTATGTCCGTCATTACGTGTGAGGGTCCTTAGCAGTGAAATAATTATCGGAATATGTCGAGTACAGACGCGGCTCATTGGAACCGCCGCCCTTTTATTAATGAGCTGAAGTGGCTCATTGTGTGACGCTCAAAAGATTCCCCGGAACCGATTAGGTCTGATTAATGACGTCATGAAAAATATTCCACTCTATTCTCGCAGTTTTATGCGTTTAAAGGCTTTTTTACCTTGTTTTTATGCTAACAAAAAACGTAATATATACGACCAATGATGTAAAAATCAAAAAGGAACAAAGCGCAAAATGTTAAAGTAACTTTTGTTTTGGAATAACATAGATTGTTGTTGTAATTCTGTTATTCTTATTCGATAATTTTTTACAATATTCATCAGTTTCTCAAAAGAAATGAAGTTGTTCTTGTAAAGAAAACGCACAGTGCCATAAGAATATGAAACGTTTCAGCAAATCAGCAAATACAATGAAAAGTAATCTGTCTTCAGCCGTTAAAACTTATCTGCATCGTTGACATAGACTTTTCTTGTATGATTTTTTAACTAACTAAGTCATACTATTAGAGTGCAATTTACTAAAGATCGACTGATCTATTTGTAATGAAAAAAACAATGATATAATTTTTAGGTTACTTTTATGCCAGGAATGTTAAAACAAATGTTATTCTTCTGTTTAATTGTGAAAGTGGTATTCCAATAACAAAATGTTATTTTCAATTGCAATACCGAGATCATTGTACTCTAGAGTCTAGACAAACTAAAAAATAATAAAGAGTTTTATGATTTTTATTTTGATGTGGTGTTCGTTGGCAGGCGACACGGCCGACCTCGCCAACTGACGCAATAAACACAACTAACGTTGCATAAAATCTCCCTTGATGCGTCGCCGACTGTTTAACTTGAAAATAACCTCCGCATTTCACTACAAGTATTTATAACTAGGAAAAAATGTTAATCCAATAGTTTACTAACTTAGTTTAGTGTCGCTTTGATTCTTATGGGCCTATATGGAGTTGCGCACACAACTAGATGTTCATTGTGCCACTAAACAGTTGATAGGCTGCGAAACAATCGACAATCGCAGAACAGTTATGCGATTTTTTAGTCACAGATGTGCGTCCGCTCTAATGGTCTCTAATAGTAAAGTTTCCTGTAATGTATTTCACTCCTACAGTGAATATGTAACATATTTTCTTCGACTGAGAATCGAAATTTGATCTAACTTTTTTTTATTTCACACACGACAAAATGTACATGACATCGCCGTAGGTTAATTCCCAAAGGAGCGGGGAAAGACGGAGGCCAATTCAAGATGTGGGAAAATCATAGTAACACCGTACACGTTAAAAAGAAACAGACGAACAGAGTACTTACTAGTGGGTGTCGGTTAAAAAAACACTTTTTTTAATAAAACAAAGTTCTGTATATAAGTATTTTTGTTTTTTGTAAGTATATAATGTCAAACGCATATTAACATAATACGTGCGGGTCGAGGGCTGTCCCCAAAGTTTCGACGAGATTTGGTTACGCAAAATATATCAGTTTCTTTCAATAAGGACGATTGATGTATTCGGGATTTCCTTTCCAAAAGTTATTCCTACACCTCATCATGCATATACAATTACTTTCAAAGTTTCTTTTTATAGCACCTCCTTATGCATGCAATTATATATGTTTATTTTCAAGAAAAAGTCATATTATTTAAATCAAATACATTGGGCCTATATTAACCTATTGTACAGAGGTTGCAAAACTATGACCAGCAATTTTGACATTTTATAGACTGTGGCACCTAGGTATCATTGCAACATTTGCAACAGCAGCGCCAACTAGCGCGGCGGCAGTTAATGTAAAACGGGGACTCCCCTGTGGGACATAATCTTAGTTGTTTATGACTAGTAGCAGCATGGACTTGACTCCGCCAGCCAAACTTCCGCAATGAATTTAACAGGCAACGTGAAATACCTTATATGAAAATGCTTTAATTCCATCTCCATTTCATCAACGAATTAATATTAATTTTCCTTAAGGAGAAAACTATTTACTAAATTATCCACAGACTAATCAAGCGCTTTACAGAAGTACAGACAATTTTAAGTACTTTTAACTCACGTGTGCTATAAAGTCATGTAACAAAATTATTCCCGACAATACCGCTAATAAAGTTGAAACTTTTCATTACGTTAAAACATTATGAGGCGCCTTTATAACGAAGCGATGAGGCGAAGCGCGAACGCCATTGTCGAGTTTGTCTGCCGCCGACGTATAGAGTTAATTAATTACCAATTACGGAAGCAGCGCTGTAATGCCACCTACCCTTTCACTACGGAAACTCTACATGTATTATCTGTGACACTAGCTACTAGCTTTTGACTCACATCATATGAGATTTTTTTTTATTTAATCATTTAACTTCTGGAACTATAACAACAAGGAAGAATTTTAGAGGGGATGAATAAGTCTCTAATGCTAAATAAACTTATCAGAACCATACTAAAACACAATAAACAATAGTGATAATAACTTGATGTGTCCCAAATTCCGACCTGGTCCGGGAGCTCATGAATAAATCGTAAGCAGTCAGGTGTGAAATAAATCAGAGATAATTTTCCAATCCGCGGCCGCCGCGACCCGCGCCTCCGTCACGTCACGAAAGTCGGCTCGAGGCAGATTACGCACAGCGCACCTGTCGGAGCGACTTGGGTTTGACAGGATTTTTATTGGATCCCTATTTCCCTATTCAATAAGTTTGGGTTGGCATTACACAGTGAACTGGGCCGTGAAATGTTTTATCCGTTGTAATGGGTTAGCGTGAAACACGACGGGCTCCATTATTATTGAAATATATTCGCACAAATATTGTGTGAATGTAACTTCTTTTGCTAATTTGCAATATACCAATACGTAATATGACATAATGAGATTAAAAATATTCTTAAGCTGATATTATTGCTTTGTTGTTGACCGGACCTGCAACGAATTGAGGATGCCACTAAACAACAATAAAAGCAAACCACTAATCTTGCTAGTGTTGTAGCGTACGGTCAAGGACCATCATGTAGTTACCGGCACATAAACTGTACAATATATTTCTTGTACCTTTCTTAGACCCAATGTTTAAAAGTCTGTCTGTTACTGTTGTTGCGCCCCTTAGATGGAAAAAAAGTAAAGGTCTTCTTTATACCAAATAAGATTCATAAGAAAAAGGTAGTTCGACCTCGATTACTACACTTTGTCATACGTCTGTACTGATTTTTTTTTAACTTTTAAACAAAGAATATCAATAACACAACTAGGGAATTTTCGTTTTATTTTTAATATGATTTTCTTTCATATGCACAACAGGTTTTTTTTTGGCTGAATGGACATGCTGCCTTTGCTTCACATGTTAAAAGATTATGACAGTAAACGTCATTGTCAAAGTCAAGTCAAAATCACGTTTGATTTATTGTTTGTTATTTTATTATTACACGTTAAAATTAAAATCAATTATGTTAATTAATAGGAAAACGTGAGACTGAGAAAAGAATGCATATGTAGTGAAAAAAGTACTGATTTAAAAGTAATCATATTGAGGAACAAAACGAAAAAACAGTAATTTCTCCTTCTTACCGTGTTTTGTGTTTTAACTGTGATAAAAAAAAATCATCTCATATAAATAAACGTAAGGAAAAATAAAACATGGAACACATCAGACAATTTGATTGGTAAGTTACGTTAGTACTTTCTTAAATTTTTTCTTAAATCTCGTAAAAACCATAAAAAATGGTGAAATTGTTCTTTGACTGACTCTGTAGCTCTAGCACTAAAATTTGTTTTTATTAATCCATATTTTAATATTGCTATATACAGACTTATTTTTATTGTAGGTGTTACTCTGAGAATGAGCATTATTTCGCAAACGAGAATGATCTAGACAACTGTGTGACAGAGAGGATACTCAGTAATAAATTTCGAGACCCACTGATATCTAGTGAATCAGAAGATGAAAAGCCTACATTCAATTGGAATGAAATTTTGGCAAAGCAACAAATGGTAAAAGTGTCAGTTAAGCTTAAATATACTAGCTGCTGCTCCCAACATTGTTCAGGTTGAATTGAACACAATATGAAAACTTAGCCTATTTATTCACTAATAACATAGCTTTTGATGATAAAAGAATTTTTTAAATTGGCCCAGTAGTTTTGTGTTATTTCAATACATACAAGGATACAAATTTTTCCACTTTATAAAAATACAGTATAGATAACATAAAAATCCAAGTTATAAGCAATTTAGTTGTCATCTCCTATTTAAAGTTAGAATTTGAAAATAACTTTAAAAAAGATTTATAGGAATTTGTAAAGCAAAAAGTATCCATTTGCTATTCCGGGCTGTGTGTGGTTTTTAAAACAAGTTGTCACTTTAAGAAGGATCAATATTGTAATATCTGTACACCTTTTTGCAGAATAATGCACAACAAAGAGTATTTGTTCCTGGATACCGTAACCATCCACCTTACCCTAAACTCTCCGCACTAACGGGGACACAGCACTTTCAATGTCTGAAGGTGCTTTGTGCTAATAATCCTGATATCTTACCAACTGAATCAATACCACGTCCAAGGAATTTTGATTACAAGGTTTTCCAAGTAAGTACTTATGAAGCTTTTTTTTAAAGGAGGCGGCTCTCAATTTGCCTAAACTTTGCCTATCTGTTGTGCGACAGTTTAGGCAAAAGTTTGCATATGCTCTAATATTAAATAACTGCCAGTTGGTGGAACTTTTTTATAATTTAAAAAAAAATTGTCTTGAAGTTAGTTTTCATGTTGTCCAAAAATTTTAATGAAATAATAGTATTTATTCAATATCAGTCTTAGTCCTGGCTGCTTTGGTAAAAAAAAAAGAAATCAATTATAACTATCAACTAGCTGTTGCTCGCGCCTTCGCCTGCGTGAAATAAAAAAATATAGCCTATGTTACTCACAGGTAGAAGACCTTTATAATATTGTAAAAATGCTCCAGTACTTTTATTTATTTATTTATTTTGTACTTTTATTCATTTATTTATTTATTTTACTTTTTGGATTATTTCGATATTTAAATAAATACAAATCTTTCCTCTTTATAATAACAGTAAAGATTACAAATGTTTAGCTGATTACAATTTTAAGGAAGTACAAAAAGTATACTTGGAGGAGCAAAAAGAATTTTTAGAGTGGGCTAAAAACCTCTGGACAACAAACCACTGTATAAGAGCTCTCAGACCGAAGCCACTTGTAGAAACAATATACGAAGCAGAGATTGCGTTGAAGGCTAAAGAAATGGAATCATTCCCCAAGAATTATACGATGGCTGCACAAATACCGTTAGAGTCAAGAAATGACAAGTATGAAATGACCCATGAACAAGATATAATAAAAGTAAGTGTTTAACTATTTTAGGTTACTTATCATAGACTAGCCTTTGGTTCACGACTTCTTCCGCGTGGAATTAAAAAATATAGCCTATGTTAGTTAGTGGTTACATAGCTTTTCAATGGTGTTAGAATTATTTACATCGGCCCAGTAGTTTCTGAGTTAGTTCATAGTATACAAAAATACACATCTTTCCTCTTATAATATTAGTATAGAAGAAAACATGCAGTTTACAAACTGTCTAATATAACTTTTAAAGTGGTCCATGTGAATCCCTACTGGTCTAAGGCCGCTTGGTGGTCAAATTGGTGGTCTATTGAATTCTACATGGAGGTCTATAAAATTTTTACTGGTTTCTGAATACTGAAAGCTTGCAGTTAGATGTGTGAATTATAATAATGTAACAAAATTGATAATTGGACGCTGTTTCTTTCGTAAATTGGGATGAATGTATCAGATTTTGTAGTTTTTTTTTTTAAATAAAACACGATCCAACAGATTTTTTTTAATTAACCAGAAATATATGAAATTTTAATAGTAGAGTTTATTTCCTAGGTGGATATAAACAGCTTGCCTCAGATACGCAACCCGCAGCCCATCACCAACAAGCTGAGTATCATGGTACCGCAGGCGGTGCCGGAGCCCTGCAATAAGCACCCCTGCAGGATCATACTACCAAGTAAGTCTAAGTTATGAACAAATATTTAGTTGTCACTATGTCCAACTATAAAAGTGGAAAAGTATAGACAACATTTGGTTGTAAAGTTTTTGCCAATTTACTCATTTCCTAAGTTTAATAATGTGATAATATAGCTTAAATCTTGTCACAAGTGTAGTTTTTACGTTTAAAAAAATATTTAAAACAAACAAACAAAGTAGTGTGTGTTTTGTCTCGGTGCCGCTCTTCCGCATGATTCCGCATTTCTTGCATTGTGTTTTGCCAATTTTTTCACCCCCTAAATTGAATATCGTAGAGATATACAGCCTAGCGTGTCGTAAGTACTACTTTTTGTTAGAAAAATAATTATTCAAAAATATATTATGATTGCTGACATCCTCCACAAAGTAGTGTGTATTTACACTTATATGTGTTTAGACTTTCTGTTCCTGTGCGGCTTTTCGCAATATTTTTGACAAGTTCAGATACGGATAGCTCGGCATACAGTA